ACATGAACTAATCTAGATGCAGCAAGAATGGACGGATCAATCTTGAAGCATCAATACTTCAGATACTGCTGAATCTATGCTGCCACTGCTGAATCTTCAGTGCCTCAGAAGTAACTGCTGAATCTAATTTTCAGTGCTTAGGCAAAAGAAATCATATTATCCACAAGTTATGAATGTGAGTTTGCAGTCTATATTGAATGTGAAACAATAAAAAAGATTGTGTGCCTAATAATACAAACATAGAGTGCGACAATGAACAAATTACTCTTATGAACTGGTTCATTTCAGTGAATCAAAAACATACATTACGAGTGTAGTCCAATTGCCGTAATGAACGACTCCTATCCATTCTTTTAATGAATAGTTCTATAAGACGAGAGAAAATTTCTTTCAAATGTAATTGGATTATGGATGGATTTGAAACATACCTAAACGAAAACAGAAACAGAATTGAACCAAATCAAATTAATAGCTTGTGAATTGAATTGAATCAAAGAATCTGTATCGATACCTAGCCCTACAAATAAATGCATAAGCTTCAAGTGTTCAATAGAACTGTTAAAAAAAAGAGATGTTTAGGGACTTTATATGATATAATATGTAATATTAATAGCTTTTTAATGTCAAATGGATATAACTACAATAGTATCAGCCTTGATAGTACTTGATATCTGATTGGAAAAAAAAAACTAAGCCACAGAGGGAAGGAAAAAGCAGTAATGAAGCGTTCTGAGCGACCATGATAACGTGTCTCTCTCTGCACAGATGGGTTCAGCTGGAGTCTGCTTCGCCTGGGGGAACCTTGGTGGGCACAAATCCTAAATCACATATGTCCCCTCAGGCTCATTTCTGCTGTTTGCCTCCAGACACCACAGCATTAAGAAATTTTGAATAAGAACTTGAATAATACTCTCTCTCGCAGACACATACGAATGCCACATCATGACTATTTCTTCATGGCGGAACAGAGATAAAAATCCTTAAACAGTTTGTTCAACTCTGTATACACATATGACATGATCAATACTATTAAGGCATAAATGCCAAGGTCAATGGCAAGGGGACACAGGGTCCTCCTGGTTGTCATAGAGACCTTCCTCGGTCTCCATAGTTACCTGGCCCTGTCTTAACTGACCTCCTGTGGCTCATCAATTTAGTGACCCAAAGACATGACTCAGATTGTATATTAGTCGATCTGTTCTGTGCGATCAATAACAATGCCACGGCTGAACTCCTCTTCATTTAATCAAAGACCAAGACTGTTCCGTCATTTGTGAATGATACTGCTCATTACATTTGTCTCTGCATCAAGGATGGGTTGGCCATAGGGAGCGCTGGGGCTTTTCCCAGTGGGATGGCCTACTTCTGGGACAGCTGCCGAAACCAAATTCAGATGTGAAATAAATAAACAAACACACAAAGATTTTACAGGCAGAAAAGGTAAAGAAATCATAAGGCTGCCCTATTAAAATAGTGAAATATGCAATTAAATGTGTCCCAATCTTAGCTTTGTGTCACCGTTTTTCCGTGCTGAATATGATTTTCTTCTTAATTTTACTTGTAAATTTATGATCGAAACTTTTTTTTTTCAAACATTTATACTTTGTAACGTCTGAAGAACAACAGACAAGGGAGGCTCCGTTTCTGACCTTTTTAATCTGAACGCAAAACATCATGAACACACCAGCCTAATGGCGCTTTTCCACTGCTGGTACGGCTCGGTTCGGCTCGGTACGGTTCGACTCGGCGCGGAACGGTTCGGCTCGTTCGCTTTTCCACTGCGTGGTACGACTCGACTCGGTACGGCACGGTTCGGTTCGCTTTAGCTCGGTTGCTTTTCCACCGCAGTTAGTACCTCTTCAAAGTGGGTGGGACTGATCGTTATTTTGTCCCTACACTGTTTGTAGGTCCGGTGATAGCCGTGTGCGGCTAAGAGCTGAGCTACTTCTTGGAACACTTTTTCATTCCGTTTTGCCCCATCCAGCTCTCGCTGGATCCGCTCCTCGGCAACCAACGAGAGGAACGTCTGCACCTCGTCCACTGACCACAATTCAACCATTTCTTTTTAAAGTTTAAAAAACAGATGCTACGGCGTTGGCTGTTGTCTACTGGTTATTTAAATCTAGCGGGTTTAGTGTCCAATGACGCTGGTAGTGACGATTCTGTCTGACCAATCAGTGATCTGCAGTGTTTTTACGTCACATTTTAGTACCGGTACGGTACGCTTGGAACCTCAACAGACCAGGTACCATTTAAAGCGAGCCGAAGCGAGCCGTACCGTACCGGACCATGCAGTGGAAAAGCACCACAAGTGAGCCGTACCGAACCGAACCGTACCGTACTATGCAGTGGAAAAGCGCCAAAGCGTGCCGTACCGAACCAAACCGTACCGTACTATGCAGTGGAAAAGCGCCATAACTTACTCGCTCGTTTCTCTCTACCCGGCCTTTTCCGAACTCACCGCATTATAGCTACAATATGTACTTTTTTTCGCCGCTAGGGGTCGCTAACAAAGGCGTAGGTTGATGATGCAAAGCATTAAGTGGAATAATGGATCTTGTTGACAAGCTGATGGATCTAATAATGTTTATGGATGAGTGAATACATTGATGTTTTTAACATGACTGTGGTATGAAGCAGGGTGAGATTGCTAATGACTTGAGTGACAGATATCAGCGGCACACGTGAATCCCGCGAATATAAAGTAATAAGGACAATTAATTCTACCGAACTACACGCAAGTGCTTTATTACTACTCACACAGGTCAGTTTATTAGATGAATGAAACTTGTGAGGTAACGCAGCGCTGTTTCACTTGGTCTGACAGTTACACTATCACACTAAACTGCATTCGAGTGTGTTAAATGTTATTCTATGTGTTAGTTTGTTGGCTGTATGAGACTAGCAGTAAGCTATAACATACTGAATAACATACTGATCATATTCTAACATTTCATCATGTTGAACTATATAACATTGATTAGTTTTATATACATTTGCTCACCTGTCTAATAAAGTACATCCAACACTCTTGACAGAGACGCCACTCTGTCAAGTCGAAGTTAGTTGCGGACGTAGAGCTCTTGGCATCTAGAAAATGATATTGATCCTCGTTTTAGTCCTCTTTTTGTCTCAAAGTCTGCTTGCCATGGTCCAAAATGTTTGAACAAAACAACAACAGAGTGAGCGTTGGACCCACTGGATTTATTGTTTCTTTGCGATATAAAAACGTCTATTTCAAACATATAAAAATATTATGAAATTGAATATACACTATTGTTCAAAAGTTTGAGATCATTAAGATTTTATGTGTATATGTATATATATATATATATATATATATATTATAATTCTATATATATATATATATATATATATGTTTTTTTAAGAAGACTCAAGCTCACCAAGGCTGCATTTATTTGACTGTTCACTACTTTAATATAGTATACTTTAATAATAATACACAGAACCTTCTGAAAGGCTATGAATGGAGAAACATTTTAACTATCTGAACCAGACAAAATTTAACCCTCTGTGTGTGCCAGTGTATCACATGACCATATCTCCCTGTGTGGCTGTGTCTGGAGCTGAGGTCAAAGGTCACGTGAGAGGGAAATCTGAATAATAGCCATGAGGGAGTCCGAGATAGCTTGAGGAGAAAGAGGGAGGTATTTCTCACAAAGGCCCAGTTTGTTAGTCTTTCATGATGGAAAGAAAGAAAGAAAGAAAGAAAGAAAGAAAGAAAGAAAGAAAGAAAGAAAGAAAGAAAGAAAGAAAGAAAGAAAGAAAGAAAGAAAGAAAGAAAGAAAGAAAGAAAGAAAGAAAGAGATTTTGTCCATTATTTGCTCTGTGAACACACAACTGCAATAACAACGAATCCAGCAGGATGACAAATATTATCTTACAAAATGTAACATAACCAGAAACAACTACAACACATGCACGGTAATTTTGCCAACTCATCAGGCCATGACAGCACAGGTCAGGAATTTAGCTTAAGATGTAAAAGGTCACATGTGCACACATAAAATAATGACAGAGAAACTCTCACACACACACACACACACAGGATTTTACAGTCTTAACAAACATGCCTACAGGGGCGCCCTGTGTTCCCCTCTATTCTGCAACATCAGAGCTTAAATTAAATCAGATCAGGCTAAGCTGAGCTGGAGGAAAAGCCCAAAACCAAATCATCTCAGCACTCCAATCCAAGTCATTCAGCTCAATGCCGAACAACGATCGCCAACAGTGCTTCTGGCAAGCAAACTATCTGAAAAAGCCCATTCCATGCTTCTAGCAATGTGAGTAAAAAAAAGGGAGTGGACAAAAGATTACAGCCTTTTCAATTGACTATTTTCTCTGATTATAGGCAAAACTCTCAAAAATATTTATTTAATCTAAAATAAAAAAATATATAAAAAAATTCAAATATAATAATTAAATATAAGTAACTAAATAAAGAAATGAAAATATACTCTATATTTCATGTCCAATTATTTATTTATTTGGTAAGTAGATGTACACTAAACGGGATTACAGATAGCCAGACGGTCATTATTGCAAAATAAACCCAACAATTTGTTGTCCCTATGAGCTTAATGGGAATTATTTATCAATAATGACCGATTGACTGTACATTATCCATTGATTATTTCCGCAATGAAGTTTCTAATTTGCTCTGTAAAAATTACAGATTTTAAAACTAGGTTTGTATGATTCAGAGTGTATATTTTTTAATATTCCGTGCATCTAGTCTATAATAATTATTGGATTCTTTTAAGTCCCTACTTTTATCCACCCAGAATCAACTATTCTATTATTAACTCAAGGGGTATCATATGTTGCTCCGCACCTCAAGCATACGTACTTGCATTTCAAACACACAGTAAGGCAACACACCCAGTGAGCACTGGAGTCTCAGATCGCTTTATGAGAGACGGTTAACCTTCCTCTGCCTATATGCCTGTGACAGCTGTCAGCTTTGAAAAGACACCAACCTTTCATTTCACACAAGGGAGAGCCAGTGAGCCTCTCTTTGCAGGCTTTCAGGTGGAGGACACTCCAGCAGCCCCTGCATTATATAAGAACAGAGTGGTTTCACATTAGCCCACTGACTCTGAGGGCATGAACTGATGGAATATTAAACAAATGAAAGAGAGACAGGGCAGGATGCATGTGTAGTTCGTTTCTATAGCCCTGCAGGTTTGAATTTGTACCTCCAACACATGATGAGCCTTTTACTCTGCTTCAATAAAAAGACTGTCGTACTTGATCAAATATAACAAGATCAAAAAGCATGTTTATTTTGAAAAGAATAACTTTTCAAAAAAAATTTACATGAAGCGGAAATTGCAACCGACTTTTCCCCCCATTGTGATATACAAGAGAGATGGCGTATTAAAAAAAAAAGTATATATATATTTAAATATATATACTGTATATATATATGGCAGGACAAAATAATGATGTGCAAGGATGATACAGTAAAATTCCATTAAGAAATAATTGTTCACATTGAATAAAATTTTCCTAAAATTTTTACAATTTTAACATTTTTCATTTTAGAAACCAGTACACATGGACAATTTTGCCAATGTCTACCAGACCTAAAGTATAAAAATTTACTTCAATGTTCACCAAATTGTGACATGTTGAAGGAAAACAAACTAACATGATTTCCATCTTTAAGAACTGTTTAATATTTTATAAAGTATATATATTAAGTATAGGCCTATATATTATTATATTTATAATATTATCCATATTTTGACCTCTTCGTCCTCAAAGATTAATGATGCTTAAAGTTGCTTTAAAATCCAATATGACACTGCAAAAACTCTTCCAGTAAAACGAGAACTTTGCTTAAAAAGCAAAAAAAAGTGTATAAGAATTTGTTTTCAAAGAATATATCTTGAATTAAGTTTATTATTTCGTTAAATTCCAGATATATTTTCTTAAATTAAGAGTAAGACATATAATATTGTGATATTTTGTAAATGTTTCTTGTTTTAATGATGTTTAAATAGTTTTACTGGACAACAAGGCAAACTACTAATTAAGAAAATTATTTTATTTCAGTGTGGAACTAAATTTAAGTATAATTAATAGTATAAACAACATTACATCAGTGTGGAGAAAAAAAAATATTTTTTTAATTGTGTGAGACTAAATGCCACTGATATGATCCCATATAGTCAACTTATTAAGCATTCTAATCATTATGTTTAGTAATTACTATTTATTTGGTGCTTTCAGGAAATTCCTTATTTCAAAAACATTCTTTATGCGTTCTATAGCACCTCCCGTATACTCATGTAATGTTAATGTCTCAAACACTCGCAATGCAGCCACCAGAGACCTGTGCATTTGACAGAGAAATCTCTCCCCTTCCTTCTTTTATTAAAGTCTGCATGCATAACATCTACACTCAGGATGCATCCTTCCCCCTCTCCATATCTGTGTTCCCCCCGTGCCTCCTCACATATTCTTTTAATCTCTGCTTGGTGCTGTTATAATTGTTCTCTGTTCCTTTCATGATTTGTAACTAAGACCCAGAACGATTGGAACACAGATGAGTCCAGTGACAGCTCACACTGAGATCCAAACCTTGTATGTCTGGTGTGGTTGATGTGTCTGGGTACAACACTGATGATGAAAGACTTGAAACTTTAGAGTGATGTACAGTATGTCATCGTCTGCCATGATATGAATGGCATCAGGTAACTGTTACTGGCTCCATTACACTACTGTCCTTTTACTTAATTTGACTTTTGGTCTGTTTTCATTGTATGCAGCCACACTTAAGGCTGTACAGGTCCTTCTCAAAAAATTAGCATATTGTGATAAAGTTCATTATTTTCCATAATGTAATGATAAAAATTAAACTTTCATATATTTTAGATTCATTGCACACCAACTGAAATATTTCAGGTCTTTTATTGTTTTAATACTGATGATTTTGGCATACAGCTCATGAAAACCCAAAATTCCTGTCTCAATAAATTAGTATATCATGAAAAGGGTCTCTAAACGAGCTATTAACCTAATCATCTGAATCAACTAATTAACTCTAAACACCTGCAAAAGATTCCTGAGGCTTTTAAAAACTCCCAGCCTGTTTCATTACTCAAAACCGCAATCATGGGTAAGACTGCCGACCTGACTGCTGTCCAGAAGGCCATCATTGACACCCTCAAGCAAGAGGGTAAGACAGAAAGAAATTTCTGAACAAATAGGCTGTTTCCAGAGTGCTGTATCAAGGCACCTCAGTGGAAAGTCTGTGGGAAGGAAAAAGTGTGGCAAAAAACGCTGCACAACGAGAAGAGGTGACCGGACCCTGAGGAAGATTGTGGAGAAGGACCGATTCCAGACCTTGGGGGACTTGCGGAAGCAGTGGACTGAGTCTGGAGTAGAAACATCCAGAGCCACCGTGCACAGGCGTGTGCAGGAAATGGGCTAGAGGTGCCGCATTCCCCAGGTCAAGCCACTTTTGAACCAGAAACAGCGGCAGAAGCGCCTGACCTGGGCTACAGAGAAGCAGCACTGGACAGTTGCTCAGTTTTGCATGTCATTCAGAAATCAAGGTGCCAGAGTCTGAAGGAAGACTGGGGAGAAGGAAATGCCAAAATGCCTGATATCCAGTGTCAAGTACCCACAGTCAGTGATGGTCTGGGGTGCCATGTCAGCTGATGGTGTTGGTGCACTGTGTTTTATCAAGGGCAGGGTCAATGCAGCTAGCTATCAGGAGATTTTGGAGCACTTCATGCTTCCATCTGCTGAAAAGCTTTATGGAGATGAAGATTTCATTTTTCAGCACGACCTGGCACCTGCTCACAGTGCCAAAACCACTGGTAAATGGTTTACTGACCATGGTATTACTGTGCTCAATTGGCCTGCCAGCTCTCCTGACCTGAACCCCATAGAGAATCTGTGGGATATTGTGAAGAGAAAGTTGAGATACGCAAGACCCAACACTCTGGATGAGCTTAAGGCCGCTATCGAAGCATCCTGGGCCTCCATAACACCTCAGCAGTGCCACAGGCTGATTGCCTCCATGCCACGCCGCATTGAAGCAGTCATTTCTGCAAAAGGATTCCCGACCAAGTATTGACTATTGAGTGCATAACTGAACATAATTATTTGAAGGTTGACTTTTTTTTTTTTGTATTAAAAACACTTCTTTTATTGGTCGGATGAAATATGCTAATTGTTTGAGACAGGAATTTTGGGTTTTCATGAGCTGTATGCGAAAATCATCAGTATTAAAACAATAATAGACCTGAAATATTTCAGTTGGTGTGCAATGAATCTAAAATATATGAAACTTTAATTTTTATCATTACATTATGGAAAATAATGAACTTCATCACAATATGCTAATTTTTTTAGAAGGACCTGTATACCATAAACCTACACTACCAAAAAAAATGTAAACTTTGGGGGGTTTTTTTATTCACAATTTAACACATATTACACACACAACACAATCACAGAAAACACCAAGGAGAATACCGCTAAGTATATCGACAAGACACACACAAAAAAAGAAGAAAAAAAAAGAGAGAAGAATCTACACAGTCTGTGGGTTATCCATTATTCCATTTGAGTTTATCATTTTATTGTCTCTATATATTTTAGTACTAAGGCCCATGTGGATTGGAACTCTTGCAGTCTTGAATGCTATTTACTTTTAATTTCTTCAATGGGCAACAAATCTATTATCTGCTCCAGCCATTGACCCAATGTGGGTCCTGACTGGGAAATCCATGCAGTAAGTATACATTTTTTAGCAAAATAAGAAAACATTGTAAACACACATTTTCTTACAAAGGGAAACTTATTTTGGACCAAAGTTAGACTTTCTAAAATATATTCTGAGGTAGATCCCACGTGTGATCGCTGTCATCAAGCACCTGCATCTACTGCGCATATGTTTTGGTCTTGTCCATCTCTACACAAATATTGGTCTCTGATCTTTAAAACATTATCTGAAGTTCTTGGAATTTATGTTAAACCTTTGCCTGTTACAGCGTTATTTGGGACTCTCTCTCTTTCACTTAACATGCCCAAATATAAGACTGATTTTGTAGCTTTTGTCACTCTTCTGGCAAGACACCTAATTTTAATAAATTGGAAATCACCTACACCTCACTCATTCTCTATGGATTAATGATATCTTTCATTTCATCAAACTAGAAAAAATCAGGCATACAATGAAGGGATCTTCTGACAACTTCTATAAGATTTGGGGTCCTTTCCTAGACTGTGTAGGAAAGTGAAATGGTTTTAAACGCCTGTCTATATTCCCTCTGGCAGTAAAGAATCTTCTTACACGTGATATTAACCTGAATATGTTTTTGGATGACCAAGCTTTACAGGGCTTCTTATTTATTATATATATATATAAATCTTTTTTTTTTTTTTTTTTACTTTTTGGTTTATGTTGCTGCTCTTGTTTATCATTTGTATTTCTGTCATTCTTTTATTCTCTCACGCTGAATGCTGTTTGGACGTAATTTGCTTCGACAGATCCATAATTGTATATTTCCTTTTTATTATTGCTTAACTTAGAATTAATCTTATTCTGTCTCTGTTTGCTGTATGGTCCTTTCTATGAACAAAAGAGACGGAATTAATTACATATATGTGATATTACAATGGTATCTGTAATTGTGGGATGTACTCTGTTTATATGGAAAAATCTAAATAAAGTGAAAAAAAGGGAAACTTATTTTCCATATCATAATTCAATAAATATAGCATCGGGCATAGCTCAAAAGTACAGTTACACATATCTTGAATTACTTTATGAATCTTCTCCCAAAAAGAAAAAATGGCTTTACAATACCAAAATAAATGCATGAATGTTCCTAATTCAGTTCCACATTTTCTACACATAGGAGAGTTTATATCATTAAATGTAGTAAGCTTCACTGGAGTTGTATAGTATTTATACAGAAATGTATTTAGTTTCTTTAACTTTAATGTTCACACTCAAGGGTAAGGTCAAATCGATACACAGAATTAACCATTCTTTTTTGCTGAACTTCCTTTTAAGCTCTAATTCCCAATT